ATTGAAAGAGTCGCCTTTTGTCGCCTTTGTGGATTTAGTCGGTAACTAATTTATTACGTTATAATGATTAATTTAATGGTTCTCTTGGTCCAGTTTGTCAAGCTAATTAACCTAAATATTAAACCAGCAACTTCATAACGTCAACAATGACAAATTAAGAGACCGCCAAAATTGAAGCTATGCGGCTGCAATGCCTTTGTATGTCCAGGTCAAATCTGATTAATTTTTGTTCTCTAATTATTGTAGTTATCATAAATATGTCTACTTGGACTACCAAAATAAGCATATGCATGTGGAGAATGGGGAGCAGCTATTTTATTTGCTTGTAGAAATCAGAAAAATTATGCAAAATTACTGTAGCAAGCACAAGCGCTTTGGGAACTTTGGCTTCTTCCAAATCTATGGAATATCAATATAATAATTATATATGGCCATAACAAAATATTAAATATAGGCTGATTAGAAATGGGTTATAGGCTAATAGGCTGATTAGCACTGGGAGTTAGGCTAATTAATTATTATCAAGTCAATGATTGAACAAAGGGGGCATGCTCATGTGGATCAATGGGTTAGGCTTGCATGGTTGTCACCCGGATTTCATGGAGATCAGAATAATTGAAGGCTAAAATGAATCTCCAGAAACATGATACACTAACACTTACTGACTTACAGCTATACATATATACAAATTTGAACCACATACTATATTCTCGTGATCAATTCTTAACCGTTGATGCATTACAAACTCGCGCTTACGCCACCAATCTCAGCATTACTCTAAAAACTTTCAGCAGCATATAGCAGGCAGCGAAGGCTGGATTGAATGTGACTTGCCAACCATCCCTTTGCAAGACTTGCACATCAAATTAAAGGAACAAGGCTTACATCAGTTTTGCACATGTATGATGTATGTTTGCTAAAAAATGACAAACAATAAAGGGAAAGGTTCAAACATGATGTGCCTTATTGCTATAATCGGATGACATCAAGTTCACTTCTAAGGTACATTGCATTTGTTCACATGTCTAAATGATGATCACATTCAGCAAAATTATGAGTACAAACCTGTTACGATATAACGTTCAAATTTCATATAAATGAATTAGCAGTCCATTACTACCAAGATCGATGTTGTCTTCAACTTAACTATATGCGTAGTTCATCAGATGTAAGGTTTCATCAAAAAGAAGGTAAAGAAAGACCTTATCTTGTTTAATTCAAATATCATGTTGACTCCCTTGCTTGTTAGTCGTTAACCTTTTCTTTTCAATAATATATCCAAAAATAGAACCCTTGTCATGTGCAATTTCGTTCTGCACGTGGAAAGATGCAGACAATGCAAGTTCTATATGTGTAGGGTAATGATGAGATGAATGGGGACTTGGATTGGAGGTTTCGACTCGAATATATAGAACCTGCTAATTCTGACGATTGAAAAGAATACCCGTGTGTATTTCATGAGCTCATACAAAAAGGATTGCATTTAGAAAGGGCAATATTTTTAGAGTGGTGATTTCCCCACTCATTTTTCTCCTATTT